TTTCTCCGGCAGCCACCGCCGACTGGGACGTTGCGGAGAGCTCCGCCACGTGTCCAGTATCTCCGGCAGGTCTTGCAGAAGTGGCGTGGTTGAGTGAGGCTGTAGTTGTTGAAGTAGCAGAACTTGGTGTTGGTGGATTCGCATCTTGGACATTTCAGTGCTGCTTCGGGCAAGGCTACGTTTGCTTGTCTTGCTCTGTCCACCATTGATCCTGCTCGGATCGAGCCACCTCCACCTCCACCTCCTCCCCCGCTCCCATTAGGATGCGGCTGCTGTTGTGGCTGCAGCTGAGGACGAAGAACATGACCTCCATTTGCTGAGGCGCCTGTTCCGTCATGATTATAATTGCTCGGAGGAGCCTAAAGTTACAAAACAAAACAAGAAGGATTGATATTTAACAAGAATATTCAAGAACATGCTAAGCAAGAAGAACTTTTGTGTCTTTTCTTTTTCATTCTTTGAATTAATATTAGTACTCTTTTTGAGTTTGATTCCAAAATTAGATCATGCTAATTGCAAAGCAAGACGAAATTGTGTGTCTAGCTACTATATAAGGAATTGTAAAGCATTTACCTGTTGCCAGTTGGATGAATCAAGATAGGCTTGGATGGAGGAGAAAACCATGGTTATTCTCTTTTGATTTTATTCTTCAAAATTCTTAAAGTAAAGTTTGTTTTTTTTCTTCTTTTTGTGTGGTGATAGAAATAGAATAGATGAATCAGATCAAAGAGAAAACAAAGCCGAGAGAGAATGAGAATGAAAGGAGAGAGAGGGGTTGAGTGTGAGAATGAAGATGGCTAAAATTTAAAGTGGATGAACCTTTATATATATCTATGTCCATATGTATACAATAATTTTGTATGGAGATATATTATAAGAAGATAATTGTCATATATGTAATTATTAGGGTTTGTGTTCCATATGGGGTGGGACTGACATGATTCTTTTTGTTTTCTTGCTTTAGTTAGGGTTTAAATTTCTTATCACTAGTTTCACATATATGTATATAATTATATTTCTTAGTGTACAGAATTTTAAACAAGAATTATATTTAGTTTCATCTGTATTATGTATCATTATAAAACTAACCAATATTTACGAAAAAATGTTTTTGACAGTGTGATATATCTCTATACCATAGAAGATCAACTCTTTAACAATTTAATAAACTTATTTAGTCTCGCTTTGGATGCTCATAACAATTTGTTGTTATGAATCCAAGATGACGAAGAAACATATTATTGTTTTGTTCAAAGATAACGACGTAATCGAATTGGATGAAGTCTTAATGTAAAGTAACCCTTGTCCCTTAAAATAATGACCACAATGTGTCATTGTACAAGTGGATTCAACTTACACAATCAAATTTTATCTGGTTAACAGTGATTACATAGTTGATTTCTGTGTAGATTGATCCGAGTAGAATATATGGAGTGAATTTAGGAGACAAAGGTGTTATGTAGACCGAATTCCGATGTGTTAGCATAATGATTATAATAGGATCGTTGATCATATAATGATTTATAATAATTTGAAAGCAAAAGAAGAAGAAGATATTTGAAAATAGGAAAAAGTGGGTAAAAATTGGTGCTTTGGTCGTTGGACGACAGCCGAAGCATCGCGACCGGTCCATCATGTTCCCTCTCTCTGTCTCTGCTTTTTTGCTCTGCATGGCAATATCTTCTCGTAGATGTGATTGATCCTCACGCTCCCTCGAACCGCGTGACTCTCTCTAGCTCGTTGAGGTTTGGGCCTTTGGGTCCATTTTCCGAGGTTTCTTTTGTAAGTTTTTACCTACCACGCAAACATTCTCCACACATTTCGATAGATTTCATCAATCTAGTAAACAAAAGACGGCAAACAAAACTATTTGCAGATTTAAATATTTGGTCATTCGATTATCGATGGTGGTTTGATTTTTACTTTTTACTTTAGATTTCGATAGTTTTGATCAGTTTTGGATACATTTGGAATACAAAACATTAGGATACGAGTATCATTTCTAACTTTTTGATTATTTGTAGAACACTTTACATTAGGATAAACAAATTATGACAGTTTGGAACAAAACATAGTGCTTTATGTAGAACTCTTTAGACGAACGAGAACAAAGATATTCAAAGGCCAAATACTCTTTTCATGAAAAATTAATGATTGGAAGAATAAAATCAATAATCAAGAGTTAGGCAACACATAAACTTATTTACATTGCTTAGCCCTGAAATTCTCATGATCAAGAAGCCTAACCATGAGCTTCTCAAGCCTCTTCCAACTAACCGTTGGTTTAACAACATCCGAAGTCTTCAACTCCAATCCAGTATCGGTTTGACCTAGTAGCTCAATGTCAATCTTATCGAGTACAAGATCATCCTCTCGAAACTCCCTTGCGAATGGAGCCCCGCTTTGGACCATATCGCGGAAATTCTCAACCGTTACATTCAGGGTGCGCTGTTGAAGCGGATCCCATTTTGTGTAATGCAGGTCGTGGTTAACCGTTGTGTTCTGATAATCTTTATTGTTGCACACAACTGTCTGAAAGTAGCCTTCAGATGACAAGAGGAAGTTGGTATAGTACATCAATAGCGTTCTTGGGAGATTATCCCATCCCCAAATGCAAAACTCGAGGAACGGTCTTGTTAAAGCAACGCTGGTTGAACCTATTAGAAGAGATTCATCCACAAAATGAAGAAGAAGAGGCAACCATACGCTTAGGATACGAGTAGACATGAAATGAAATTGAGTGTTTTTTCTTACCCATGAAAAGTTTGAATGAAGCAGGCAAAGATCTCCGTTCTTTAGCCCAAAAGACACCAGATTTCTTCAAATGGTAAAAACCAGGATCAATAATGATAGGCCTTGCTCTTTGGTTCCTACAAAATATATAGTTAGAGCTGTTATACAAGAAGCAACTCAAATGATTTGTTCCTAAATATAAAACAGAGAACATTCAAGGTATGTATACATAATATTAGCTCCCTCACTCTTTCCAACCGATGTTGCTTGTGTGCTCGATAAAGTTCAGGTAGCGTGGCAAGTATGAGAATATATGCAAAATATCTGAAACCACAAAAAGAGCCAAAAGTACAATAAGATCATTAAACTGTAAAATAAGAATCGATAAGTCCAGTATTCGGAGGCTAGTCAAATTCAATACACAGAAACAATTAAACATCATATACATCATATCTCTTCCTAATTCTTATACAAGTCAATACTCCAAGAGACAGGAAGTTCAACTTCTACTTTTATTTACTTTAAATCCTTGCTTTGATATGAAGGACACATCAAACAGGACAATCAAAAGCATTAAGATTTTCTTGATTCATATACAATACAATGTACAACATTTTCTACATGAAAACCAACCAGGCCATACATAAGATTGATGAACCAACATACATGAGCCAATCCATATAAGAAGCAGAATCTTAAGTCCTAATTTGATTTTGGATAACAGAACAAGAACATTTTCTCTATGAATCTCCATTGAACTTATCAATACCAAACTAAGACACAAAACATGAAGAAAAGATTTAAAGATTGAACATTTACCATCTTGAGGCATTAAAGGATAATCAGAAGCACTAAGATTAATAAACCAATCCCAATCCTTAGCTTTCTTCAACAAAATGGCAACACCATGAAGCGTACTAGCTAACATCGTTGGACCTTTCTCCGTAACCAAATCAGCTAAACCCATTACCATAACATTCTCAAACTTTTTCTTCTCCGATCTCACATACTTCGCCAGCTCAATTCTTTCTTCATCTGAAGCTTCGAGATCCAAATGAAGCAGATAGTAATTTCTCGGATGATGTATTGCTTTAAGCAGCCGCTTCACTCGTTTCCCATCTCCTTTCGTTCCCGTTACCAAATACGCAAGCCTCGGAATCGTCGATTTTGTGGCTAAGTTTCGATTTGGAGCTAAACCGGAGGATGAATCTGATGGTTTTCGAGAAGTTAGTGTTAAACCCAGAAGAAACAAGAGGAAGACACCGAAGATTGAAATCGCTGGTCGTGAATAAGAACGAGGAGACGAAATGTGAGATCTTTTCATGATTCGATTTCACCGGAACATTTCCGTCTAGATCTGAGCCGACGGTGGAGAGAGGAAGAGAGTAAAGCCGGGAAGAAGACGAAAGTTTTGTTTTTTAATTTTGAAAAATCGGTTGGTGAACACCAAACGACAGCATTTTGATTGGAAGACGTGTATGAATTAATAACCGTCCGATTAGTATAAGATCTTCATACACCGTTGGATGAGCTTGCTGTGAGTCAACGTCAGATTTCACATCACGCACAGACACACTCACAGTTGCTTATACGGAGTTACGATTCAACCAATTACATAAAATAAATTAATTTAACGGACATAATTTTTTCGAAATTGACGTAATTTGTTTACAAAAATATCTTTAAAAATCTGTGGAAAAAAACAGAGAAATAAATTTTATTAAATAAAAAATTCAAACTAAACTAGAAGCATCAGGTAAACCTTGACGCCAATCGTCATCTCTACTAGTGGCCGAAACGCGACGGTTTCCGCCGCTGCGATTCACGTTTCCGTTAACGTTAACGGGAACGTTGGGAGCTTCGGTTTGTTGTTTAACGGAGACGTCAGTTCGACAAATGGGACAATTAGGATGATCCTTAAGCCACGTCTCAATACATAA